GTATATTCCACAACGTCGACTGTTGTCTCAACTAACTCCTCTCTTAGTAATCCATTCCAGGCAGTAAGCCAACTTCCATCAGTCTCGCCGAATCCAACGAATCCATCGAACCCGTCGAATCCGTTCTCAACATTGTTTACTGGCTCGCCAGTTCAGTCACCAATAAATCAACAGGTTGATAGTAACCCATTCAGAAAGATGTCAATTTCTCCTGGATTTGGAACATCGCCTACGGGAATTTCGTCTATAGGGCAAATTAGCAATGTTACGCCGGGGAACGGTTTATTCCAGAATGCGAACATCGGTCAGGGGAATTATCCATTCGGACAAGGCCAAATATCACAACAGCCTGCCGGTAATATGTCCAATGGTGCGTTTTAGAATAAAGTGTGAGATGGGTGTGTAAATTATTAATAGAGTTATAGATATTATATGCGTGTAATGAGATTGTAAACAGGAATAATGTTATTAGTTGTACTGAACATTTTTGCCAGTTGAATCCGCTCTTAATCTTAATATTGTAACAAAGACATTCTCAGATAATATAATATATTGGCATTCTTCGCCTCAAAACCAGACAAGATACTCAAACAATTTTCAGAACTAAATTTGCACGCCACAATATGTACTGTATTTACCGATACGATGTGTGAAATCATGACATGTATTTCAAACGGTTTTGGTAAAGGGAAAAACGACAAGGAAAAGCTTACGTGCGCGAGAGAATGTGCTAGTTGTTTCGATACAGCATGCAATAAGCATAAAGACAAATCCCATCTAGTAATATTATTGTTGAAATAGACACAAAACATGAAGTTATAACAGACACATGAATAAAGAGTGATTGATAGCACTGAAATTAGTATCAAAGTTGGTCACGAACTTTGCGTTGAACCTCAATATTTTAATAAAATACTGAAATTCGGGGTAGGTTAGATCCGAATATTAATATGGAAGTAGATTTCTAAAATGTGACGGCAGAACATATTAAACTAATAAGAGAAACGGGGATGCGAAATAACTGTTAATACAGAAATCTCTTGGACTGTAAATAATAATAATGATAATAAAGCAAAAAGGATTTCCCGCACCTGATGCTATAATAGTAAGGCCGAATATGGACATTAGCATGGATGTACATAAGCCAGCTCAAACCTAATTCTTGCTATAATGAAGGAATGTGGTCACTATATTAAGAAAGAGTTTCAACAGTAAATCATTACGTCATCGGCAAAAAATTATTTAAGCACCGGCACAAGTTCTTAGTTCCGCAACAAAGTGAACCAAACTTTTGAGTCGATGGCAGAGTATTTAGCTTCAATATATGGTACGGAGAAGGACAAGTAAGTAGCTGGTTTTTGTATGGCGATGCTCTCTCGTTAATTGGAACCAAGTACAGCCATTAACGATCATTCGCTGCATCTGCTAGAGTAAACTGTTCATTCTACTTCAAGATCGGTGCTTGTCGACACGGAGATCGTTGTAGCAGGAAACATGTCAAACCAACGTTCTCCCAAACTATACTCTGTTCGAATGTATATCAGAATCCTGCTCACGATATGAACTGTAGCATGACAGAGGAACAATTACAGCAACATTTTGACGATTTTTATGAAGATTTTTTTATAGAGCTATGCAAATACGGTGAAGTAGAGGAAATGCATGTATGTGATAACGTTGGAGATCACTTGATAGGGAATGTATACGCGAGGTTTGGTTACGAAGAAGACGCACAGAAGGCAGTTGATAATCTAAACCAAAGGTTCTATGCTGGTATGTAACAACACAGTCGGAAACTTTTATTTTAGCGAAAATGTTCGAACCGTTGGTTTTGAACATGCTTCTGATTTTATCAAGATAATTCACTGTGAGACGATTTATCTTTAAGGTCGCCCAATATACGCCGAACTATCTCCTGTAACCGACTTTCGCGAAGCTTGCTGCAGACAAAACGAGAATTCCGAATGCACACGTGGTGGTTTTTGCAATTTTATGCATCTGAAACAGGTATCACGCCGACTGAAGAAAGAACTCTTTGCCGCTCAACGTGCTTACTTGTCGGAACAGCGACGTAGTAGACGTGACAGGAGTAGAGAGCGGGATGGGGACAGGGATAGAGGCAGAGACAGAAGTATGAGTATAGATAGAGATAAAAGTAGAGAAAGAAGTAGAGAAATAGATATTGATAGAAATGGAGAGGGAAGTAAGAGTAGAGACAGGAGAAGGAGGCGAAGTAGAAGAGATGAGAGGAGAGATAGTTACGATGATTGACAAGGATCTTACCGAAAGAATAGAGGAATTAAAGGGAGAAGGAGGAACGGGTGTGAAGAGGATGGGGCTCGGGATTCCTGCTGCTTTCTTATTACCCACGGCAGACGCCTGCATCGTCTTTTCTTTCTGCTTCTTCTTCAAGTTCCCCCGATTTCCGCATTTTCAGAGCGTCTCATCAACAGAACAGAACGATTTCGAAGAGAAAACAGGGAATTACGAATAATTGTGACGCGAGTTTAATTTAACTTACGACAGTTCGTGCTCTTATTACGTGCACACTGCAAATCACATAATTTTACCCCGTCCAAATTGTATAAATGAAGGATCGTCTTGTCATAAAAAAACAAAGAAGAATACTAACTACTGTCTGATCATTTATGTTATAACTTAAATTTGACCTTTTTCGCTATGCTTCGACAGCACTAATGGGTAACAATATTTTTGATATTTTTGTACGTTCATCTCGTTACAATCTTTACGTCGAGCGTCGCAACGCTTGAGTAACAGAAGTTTTTGTAACGAATTTTATCAAGCATCTCACATTTCATTCCATTTTCTGCGCGTGCATCATTGGCCTTTTTGGATCTTAATAGGGTCAAGTTTTATTAGAATAGCGTTTAACTGAATAAGTCATATCAGGTCAGTCGGACTGATTTTGCGATAATGTTATGGCTTTTCAGCGAGATTCTAAACAATGGTCGTAAATTGTACATTTATATGTGTACTCATATTATTTAAGTAATGTTTATAGCAGACAGTACCTTTTCAGACTAAAATAGCGAAAGCAGAATTTTGTTCTATTTTACACAATAAAATTTCAGAAAGCAATATGAAAGTTGAATTATCATTACTCGTTAGATGCGGACATGGAACCAGGATCACTCTGCATTTCCCGCTCTCCAATGTCGAGTGATCCTATTATAACAGTTTCCTCAGCGTCTCCTTTAATTTCGAATTTCATCCTAGCCATTAAACGTTAATATATCAATTTTTACGTTCAATTACAGACTGCAAATGCTTAAGCCAATTGCTTACTTGATAACTTTAAACTCCAGATCAGAGCCAGTTTCAATACAATCACCGGTACTTTTGTTAAACCATACTCCTTGTCCGAGATTCGACAATTCGACAGGTTGCAGAGAATTAGTGTCAGTTCGTAAAAGTTGATGTATTGCCTCAGAGTCAGTCCAGCCGTATACGTCACGAGGTATCTCCTTTACGGGAATAATCACGTCAAAAGTGTCGTACATGCGAAGCCGTATATGACCTGCAGACTGCATTGTTACCGTAGCAGCTATAAAGGTAGATTACAGGGCATCCATTAATCAGGTGAATTGCGTCAATGATGAAAGTAAATAAGAACGTACATGATATGCATCCGATCTCGGGCGCCCACAACAACAAATTACCGCGAACCCAAAAGTGACCATACGGGGTGTCCTCGAGTATATATTGCCCTGGACTTAATACTCGTAGGTTGGAAAAGGCCAAGACGATACCTCCTAATTCTGGAACATATCTTGTAAACCGACGTCATGATTGATTAATGTTGACCATGCGGCTCAACGAAACATCGAGTTGTTATAAACATACTTCATAACAAGTGCACCAAATATTTCCTTTATTCCGTGAGTCACGTTACCAAAAAAGACGGGCGCAAGGTGTATGTAATATTCAACAGTTACTTCCTTAAAAGTTGAGGAAACCATATTTTGACAAGGCGAACATCTTTTTGTGCTTTGTGAGACTAACATTTATTCTAGGGGTCGATCTAATAATATTAATACAGGGGATAATACTCTTGGGATAGTTGTTACTTGAAACATTATAACCTGAGCATTAATACCATACAAACTTTATTCGTATAATCGTTTTAGATGCGACACGAGATGTCAATTGCTGCTGAAGATATCGTACGTGCGGTCACGTTACTGTACCCGTTTCTGAAATAGTTGTTGTACAATCTATCAAAAAGTAGATTTTGTTTAAACAAACTGATAATAAATTACGCGTCGATTATACCCACAAAGTGATGAGAACATTAAAATCGACATCATTATATCTACAAAGGCCCCATATTAAGCGGCATGTCTCATCTTCAAAACCGACTAGTACGTCGACAATAGACGTAGGATATGATGAGACAAGACAAAGAGTACAGGCTCGTCGATGTGTAGTTTCTGCGTTACCGTTTTCATAGAAATTACTAACACCTCAATGCCTTGTATAACCATAGGCAAAGATAGCCGCAATGAAGAAAGAACGACCGTTCAGCAGCTTTCTGACCGACACATTCAACCGACAACACACCTATCTACGTATTTCAGTGACTGAACGATGTAACTTAAGGTGCACGTATTGTATGCAAGCAGAAGGCATTGATCTAACTCCTTCCGACAAATTACTCTCTTCCGACGAGACTATCTTTCAGGGCGTCACAAAGATACGCTTGACTGGAGGGGAGCCAACTATACGCAGAGACATTGTTGATCTAGTCGGTGAGTAATTCTTTGATGCGCTACTATTGGAATGTTTTTCACAGGTTATAGTATTCTCACTGTTAAATCTTTGTTTGCCATATAATTTTAAAGGAGAACTCAATAAGCTCAAACCGCTTGGTCTACTGTCCGAGAAGCAACTGTTGGAAATCATTGAAATCGCAGTCAAAAACAAGAAACAGCACACAGGTATGTTTGAATTGGCAAGGACGAAAAATAGGCCCATGCCCATGATATTTATTAGATGGATACGTGATATGTGTTTGGTGAGTATTCAGTTAAATGGGATGTGCACTGCTTATCCACTTTCTCCCACACTTCTTTTTTCTCTACGAAATACCATAAGAGCTTACTATTCTGAGTAGGGCATCAGCTCTAGGAATTATTACTACTTCTAACAGCTCATCGAATAGTGTTACTTTTGATTTTTCTGGTTATTAGTTAATATACTTCATCCAATTAATATGTCGCAGGAAAACTGACCAAAAAGTCTTTCTGCCATACTCGCTATACTAAAAAAAGTAGCTCGAAATGGAAGCACAAAGTGTCAACCAAAGACTGGTTTGCCACCGAATCTATTGTAAAACAATACTTTGAAATACAGACCGAACTAGTGGAATGTAATGTACCGAACGCCTGCTATCAGTAAATAATATTAGACTAGTCCCGTGCACTATTTTCGATTCAAAAAGGGTATATATAATCGATCAAAGACATTGTAAAACTAGATTTTGTAATTGTATTGACAGATCGAGCTCATTAGACTATTACACAGTGGCTCTCGATAAGATGATGTCGCCGGGCCAAACCAAAAGGTTCATATTATCGAAAGTTTATTATATCGAGCGATCTTTTTATAATAAAGTTTATACTTGAGATTGATTTGGTTCCAGAAAAAAACCTCATCTTATCGAGTGATCATTATATCGAAGATTCATTATATCGAGAGCCACTGTGTATTGATGTTTTCTTTAGGAACATGTGGTACACCAATAGCATAATTATTATATCGCAATAATTCGTTCAATCTGCAAAAATATTTAGTTGAGATGAAATAATTAAAGTGAATTATGTTGATGAAACAAAGTTCCAGGCCGGTGGTTAGGGAAAGAGATGTGTCGATCAATAGATAAATTGTAGAGGGTTTTATTACTATCACTATGTAGCTAAATTAATCGCTAAATATTGATGCACACGTGATTGACGTCAACTAATGACGTAATTATTGTAATACATTATGATACGTACCGTAAACCACTGACTAAAATACCCTCCCCTTTTTTTTACTCTACCTGGGTGCTACGCGCTTTGAAAGGTTTTAGCGAAACTTACAAAGTACCCGAATAAAATTTTATTAACGAAAACTTACATATTAATATAGGCTGAATCTGTTAAGTACCCGGGCTTTTGGTCAGCGGTTTACAGCACGTGCACATAATCGGTTACACAAGCTGCTTTTCCCACCATACATATGACAAACAAGTACACAGTGAACCTGGATATAACGAAGTTTGGATATAACGAAAACCTGGATATAGCGATGCTTTTTTTTTGATGTTTCGAATTTTGTCTAGTAAAATTTCCTGGATATAACGAATCCCTCGATATAACGAAGAAAAGTGTCTGCACGGTCTTCTTCGTTATATCCGGTTTCACTGTGTAAGTTTCGAACAAGTTTCCGCTTTTCGCCTTTCCATTTTGCACTGAATATTTTTACTTTTAAGTTGGTTAGATAATTTACAAGAACAATGGATGAGACATCTAAAAGCGGAATTATCGACCCTTTCAGGTATTTTTTACAGGAAGGAGAAAGGTTAAGCAGTGCACGTATTAGAATTTGTTAGTTGGTTAATAAAAAAAAAGTTTTTTATGTAGGCTTCAAGGAACCATTATTCCATTCGGTCCCGAGGGCAAGATGGTAACTCCGCCTCGGTGTCAACCGATTCTAATGATAACAGTATGGGACGTGATATGCCTTCTTTGGACATATTATGTCAGTCGGCCTCCCCAGAGAAGAACGACACTCCAGGATCAGACTGCATATCTGATAAAGATGTTGAACCTCCTTGCCGACAAGATTTCAAAGATGGAGACAAATACGCAGGCTCGTCCAACCACAATCAACCTCACATTTTCAACTCGGAAAGGGAAGATTGCAAGATACATGTTCGGAGCATCGATTCGCGGTGGGACAGCACAAACGAAACAAGAAAAAATGCTGATATTCATAAACAACAAAAAGGCAACAGAGGCGAGAGTGCAAACGATACCAGCGTTGAAATGGTGTCTTTCGAATGTTGTCCTAACCAAGAAAGAATCTCTGCTTTGCAAGAATCCTTGGGGCAACTGCTCCGAGTCGGTGCCTTGGTGGGCACTAAGTGGACAACGGAAAACCCAAAAACACTGTGTCATCTTGTACAGCCGGACGATCAACCTGAAGCGTTTAACGAATCAAAATCCATGTATCAAGTGTCAGCGGGTGGCGGACACGATGGATCGCAAGGGTCTCGCAGTAGTCTGCCTATTATAGTCGAAACGATTGCAAATGAATCTAACCGTCACCATGTTGCAACCTCTGTTGGCTATGAGATTGATAGCAAAGTACCTCCAAAAGATCTTATCTGTTATATAGAGGATGTTAGACGATATGGATTTGACCACGTCATCATTATTGGGGAACGTCTCTACGGAATGCTTTTTATGGACTGTTATGGTCGCGTGTTCGATTGGGACTCTATGAGTGATTTGTTATGGCCACGTGGGGATTATTTGAAAGAAGCGACAAAGAAATTTGAGCCTAACTCTATAGGATGGGGTGTATCGGAAGATGGGACTGTATTTGAGGTCGAGTTTTGTACGTGTGAAGACTTTACTTATCATTTTTGCTTCATTTTTACCTTGTTTTTATCTTAATTTTTATATTTTCCTCCAGATTCGTCAAGCGAACATAATGTCAACCCTGTTGCAAAGAAAGACAAAAGAAGAGCTCAAAAAAGAAGAAACGTCAGTAATGTGGGGTTTTTTATGTTTTGATCAAGTGCAACGCGTTTTCCCGGAATTTTAATTTCGATTTATGTTTGCTACTACGGGTTGTCTGTTCAACGAATTACAGTAAATTTACATTAAAAATTAACATCTTTGTTGGTAATTGCATTTTGCTAGAGATTATGATAGTTATTATTTCGGAACACCAATGAAATGCACATTGTTTTGCTGTTATTTTCTGGTAAAGTTTTCTGCGGGATATTGTTTCGCATTAGTCCGTGCTAATTTCGCATTGTGTGATTTTCAGGTTGCAAAAAAATTTGGTTTCATAAAAGATAAAAGTTTACCCAATATTACCGGTAAAGCGGTATCTGATATTGTTAAGTAAGTATCAGGTAAAAAAATATGGATCTCTCTTCATCGATTACTGGAGATAGCAAAACCTGAGATTCAGCAAGATATTATAAATGCGATAGCAAACCCGGATATTTCTCAACACCAGCACATTCCATGTAAGGCTAAGAGAAAATGTAAGACTAGTAAAAAACTAATTTTTAACGATACCTCATCTGAGACAACATCCACATCTGAGTCTGGGTCTGACTCTGAATCGTCTAATGAAGATAAAGGTTATGATTAATATACCAGTTACAAAATCAAAGAAGTGTGCTTAGTTCTCATCATCAGAAATTTCTCTGTATTAGTATAGGTCAATGATATCCTCGACCTCACTATTTTCTTGTTTAGGTGCTGGAGTATTTGGTCTGTCATTCATTACACCATAATGTTCAACTGATGAAGCATGACCTATTTTATGCCTACATGCCAATTGTCGTAAATATTGACGGCGGGAATCATTCCTACCTCCATGTATTCTGGAAGCATGATCAGCTCCTATTTTTCTTAATATAAATGAGGTAATTTTATGGCAACTTAAGAATTGATTAAGTGGTGCAACATTAGTATTTCCATCCTTATCTTTTAACAAGAAGGGAAATCTGTTCGGTATTGATCTCTGAATCCAGATGAGTAATTCTCTTGCTCGTATTGGATTTTTTTCCATTGAGAGAAATGGTCGGGGTTCTCCCAATTCACCTTTATTTTTTGCATAACCAATACAATACCAAGAATAGTCAGGATTATACCATGACTCACGATTTGGTCTGTATCGATTGATACGAAGATTTTTCACATCTGCTGATCGCATACATAGCATTATCATTACGTCTATTAGATTTTGCATTGAAGGAGGCTTGGTAATATCACATTCATTAAGTCTTTCCTGAACTTTTTCCAGGTAAAAGAACTCGGGACAATCGTAACCATTAATTCCACGAAGTATTCGTTTTCTTGCTTGAATCTGATTTGCTTCTTCAGTAATAAAGGGTATTTTCGTTGCCTCAATGATGAGATAATCAGCTCCTAAGCTACGCAATTTTTTCCGTAATAAGTTAAGACGAGAATTTCCAGCAACAGTAGTAGGAGCAGAAGAAGCCAAGTCGTATGCTATTCCATTTATCTCTTCAGGTGAGAGATCATTTTTTATAATATATTGCGCAATAATTTTGATAGGCACTCTTTCCTCAACATGTCTTCCAGGAGCTCGAATGGGGATAAGAGTATCAGCTTGCTCCTTACTTAATCCCAACTCTTGGAAGCGTCTTTTAGCCTGATCTCTGGCTTTTCGAGCCTGCTCTTTTGACTTGCCATCTGAAAGTTCATTATCTAACTCTTCAACATAGGTACTAAGCTGGGGTAAACTAGTTTGTGGTGTCAATTTGTAACGATTTACAAATGATGTAGCGATTTTTGCCATGATTAGTATATGTCAGTTGATATAATTGAGATGTTTTATCTAGACTATTTTCGTCTGATATATACTATAGAGATTCTTTTTTCAAATCGAAATTATTTATCCCAAGTTGATATAGCTATACCCAAAAATTGAATGGGTTACGGTTAATGTAATTATACCGGAAAATGGACATGAGTAAGACACGAGATCGATTGAAAGTCTTGGAATCCATAGCCCCTTTTTTCCTCTTTGTCTCTCAGAAAAAAGATATATATGTTATCAGTATATGCTATCTACCTTTTTCTGGCTTCGAGCAGTTACTGCGAGAAGGCGGGATAACCAAAAATATAGAAGGTATCAAAGAGGATATATCATTACTTAAAGAGGTCCTGGAAAAAATAATCAGTATATGGCAAGCATATGATTATATCTCATATCTAGAATCGGGTAAGTCAGGTATATGATTCTCAAACATAGCAATTTTTGTACGCAATTCATCCTGCTTTTTTTGATGATAATTCTCTTTACTTTTATATTTTCCTACATGTTTATTGCATGCATTATATTTAGACCTATTTGGCTCACCACAATCTCTACAAGGAGTAGGTATTGGAGAATTACGATGAATATAACATCTTTCTGATTTACTACGTCGACCACAGATTTTTCCAGTTCTATGAATATATGTGCAATGGTATAATATCATCGTGATTGGGAATAATTAATTTTATTTTAAAGATTTATCTATCAATTATTATAATATCAAAAACATATACTTTTTGTCAGATCAAACAACGCGTATATACAAACAACGCATATATACAAATCAATAAAATGAGTTTGTCTAGTGAAGCAAAAAAACGTCTTCGTGAATCATTACAACAACAGTGCTTAAATCAAAAGTCGGTAGAATATAATGAAGCAAAAAGGTTCTTCATGGGTTTAACAGATCTTGATTATAAACCTGGCCATAAAGAACATACGTTTTATAAATACTGGCTTGCATCCAATGGCCATGTCAACTCTGATAGAAATGATACAGCACTTTTAGAGGCATATCAACCCGAAGAGATTCATTCTCAATATATAATTCGGATGGCAGGAAAAGGTTATACAGTGATCGATCATCCTAGCAAAGTTTATAGAATACCTGATACTCATGAATGTATCGATGGCAACCAGCCTCTTCGTGTGGTAATCGACATTGATGCAAGACAAAAGCCCGACTCTAATAATCCTCAACTTCCTTCTTTAGATAGTGAAAAAATTACACGAGAAGATTTGTTATCTCGAATTTTAGTCGCTTGTGCAGATGCATTAAGCCTTATTCCTGATTGTATGCCTTTCTTAAATTCTTTTGCCTTAGCTAGTTCATCAAATGCTGAAAAATGTAGTTGGCATATTATTTATCCTCGCACCTGATTCATAGATTATAGAGAACTTAAGGGATTCACAGAAAAGGTTATGGATTAGTCAGGGAACCTTATTCAAAATTTATTGATATTGGCCTTCCCAAAACACATTTCAACCTTCGGCTTCTAGGATCAGCGAAGGAAAGTCGTATAAAAAGACCTGCTATTTCTTCTGTTAAAAACGGATTTAAAAATCTAGATGATTATCTGGTTCAGCCTAAAGAGAATTATTCCGTGATCTGGCCACGAACCTTTTCTTCTGAAGAGCCAGTAAAACAAGAATCCCAGCCTATCAATGATGAAAATGCCTTGAATAAAGGTGCTAATTTAGTTATTGAAAAATATGGATTGGAAGAATCGAGAAGGGATTCATCAACTTTCAAGCACAATCCGTCTGCGGTGCAGGAGGCTCTGCCTCTAAAGAATGCCCTATATGTGACATTAAACATGAAAAAGACCAACTTTATGGATTTATTCGTCAAAATGGGTATTTTATACTTAAGTGTTATCGCCAAAAACAATACAAGCCAGATCACGAGGGCCTCAGCTTCGGTAAGGTATCAGACAAAGTTGAGTCGAAAGTGAAACCTAAATTGGGATTAAATGAAAGAATAGCCAAAGCTGTATTGAATTCTCATTTACTTTCTGAATTATCTGGAGAAGTTATTAATGTAAAGGAAATGGGAGATTTTCCAGAAGCTTATCCTAATTTCTTAAGCCAAGAACCCAGTACAACTTTGATTCGCTCTCCTATGATGACAGGAAAAACAAAAGGTCTAAGAAAATATCTCAATTATTTAGCCAAGAATAAAGCTAATATGCCTTGTGTCATCTGGATTTCTTACCGAAAAACTCTTAGTAACGAATCAATGGGTAAAATTAATGATCTTAAATTATCCGGACTCAGAATCTGTAATTATCAAGATGAGCAGAGTTTATCCGTAGATAAGTGGGATATTATCATAGTTCAAGTTGAGAGTCTTTCTCGTGTAGAATTCTCAGCCCGTCCGATTGTAGCTATTTTAGATGAAGTCAATGCAATTCAACGACAAATGAATAGCGGTTCAAATGCGCGGGAATCTGAAAATGCAACGCGTGATGTATTAAGATCAGCTCAACACGTTTTAGCTATGGATGCATTTGCAAATGAAAGTACACTAACATTCCTTAAGGCTTATCGTGGTGAAAATATCCGAGTGATTGATAATAAATTTCAGCCTCTTATAGGTAAGACTATTGAATATCTTCCTGATCCAAATACTGGAGCTGAAGCTATGCGAATAGGGTTTGAGTATTTGAAGCAAGGTAAACGCGTGGCATTTGTTGTAACAAGCTCTAATATGGCTCGAGCATTAGTAAAAGAGGCTTCTAAATTATCTTTCAAAGCTCGTGCCTATTATGGAGACATGGATGGAAAACAACGAAAAAAAGACTTTTTAGA